TACTGCCCTGATTTATTGGCTAGTTCTTTCTTCCCTGCGCTGGACTCTGAGCAAAGACTCTCTCCTTAGACAGGGCTCAGGAAACAGTGTTTCCATAGTGAGTGGTCTTCAAGTGCCTTTCATGGTGCAGGGAGAACTCATCTCCTGACAGATTGTCTTTTCAGCCTGTAATTCCTGCCTCAGGTGGGACTGCAATAAAGCTCATGCAGTAACTTCCTGGAGTCAGTTCACACTTGCTGTAGGTAGGGTATCATGTGCTCCTGATGACGTGACCTCATCAGTGCCTCCCAACAAATACTGGGAAGTCCATTTTAGAAAGGAGGCAGGCTGAGGCGCTGGCTGTCAGTCAGGGAGAGACGTAACTAGGACTGGAGTCCAGAGCCCCAGCCTTTGCCCACTCAGGCCTTCCGCCAGGTAAGTGCAGTTCTGGCTCATTAGCAGGCTGGAGAGGGCGTATCCCTGGAGCCGGCCCCTGCCTGAACCAGGGCTGAGGCCCCTAGAGCCCTCTTGCCTTCCGCCCTTTCCAGGCAGGCCATTAATGAGACCACCCAGTTTGAAACGGCCTCTCCTTCCCTCTTTCTAGCTTCTTATTTCTCCTTAGTTCTTATCATTCTCTGTCACATAATGTATTTTCCTTTTTAAAAACTGTATTTCTTGTCTGTCTCTCCTGATTAAAACGTCAGCTTTGTGAGGGCAGAAATTTTTGTCTATTTTGGTCATCGCTGTGTCCCCAGTGTCTACAACAATACCTGGCACACAGTAAGTGCTCAATAAGATTTGTGGAATGAAAAATGAATGTTAAAATTTTCCAATGATGTGGAACTAAACTCACGATCATAAAAAAGACTGGGTTTACTGGTCTGACAGAGCCTGGCAAGACCCCTTAGACTACAGTCCCTAATTACCCTTAAGGCCTGGAGTTAAACTCACTCCTGTGGCTCCCAGCCAAATAGCAGACAGGCATATATGGTGAACATTTACACCAGGTAGATACACTCCTTAGAACGATCAGTCATGGGAGAACAGAAGAGCAGTATTTGCACAGGGAACTAGCTCAGGGGGCGGGATGCATAGGAAAGAAGGACACAGGGAGGAGGTGCCTACAGGGAGGAATTGGGAAGAGAACTGTTACATTGTGGGGAAATGCAGTCAATGTCATGAAACAAAATGAGTATCAACCGCTATATGGAAAATGAATTCGCTCTATAAACTTTCACCCAAATCATACACATATACACAAAATCCTTGCAGTGGCTTCTCACCATACCCAGAGTAAAGGCCAAACCCCTCACCATAGTCTGCAAGGTCCTGCATGATCTGCCTCCATCAACTCCTGCTCTCTTCTCCCTTGCTCCTTCCTTTCCCACTCTGTTCCAGTCACAGGGGCTTCTTTGCCGATACGTGAATAAGCCAAGTTTATTCCTGTCTCAGGACCTTTGTGTCACCTTCCCCACATACTTGCATGTCTCCTCCTTCACCTTCTCACTGTACAAATGTCACCTCCTCAGGGAGGCCCTCCCTGATTCCCTTTCCTATCCCATCTCCATGCTTTCCCTTCCTTATGAGCATCGTCTCCCCAACTAAAATGTCAGCTCCACCATGGCAGGGATTGGTTTCTCTTGTTCACTTCTGTGTCCCCAGAGCCCAGAGCAGGGCCTGGCACACAGTAGGTGCTTGCTAAAAGAGGCTGATGTGTCCCAGAGGACCTATGTCTTACCTGTATCACCACTGCCCCCAGTGAGCCCCCACTCAGGGTGAAACTCTGAATCTTGGTTATTCTCATGAGCTTGAGGAAACAGCCCTGTGGATGCAAATATCAAACAGGCAGGTGCTGGTTAGGGGCTTATGGATCCTGTGTCCCTGTCTACCCCCATCCCTTGGGCCATCTAGATACTTCTCATATTCAAGGAGGAGAAGGGAGCAAAGGCATGAGGGACTTGAATTCTTCTCATTTGACTACTCCCCTCCAGCATCTTCTGTGGCTTCCTCACTCCCCAATGACCAAAATACACCACTCCCCTGTGCCCACCTGTGCTGACATCTAAGTGTGGTGGCTAAGACTATGGCTAGATACACAGCATTATATTAGCAATGTGACATTGGGTAAGTCACTATATTTCCCTGTGCCTCAGTTTCCCAA